TGGCCAGAAATCGCTCAGCACAGCACTGTAGGCAGCATCCCAGTGGAGAGACGATGACGGACAATTCAGGCTGAACGAATAACAAATGAGAGCCCTGCTCGAGGGAGCGCGTACGAGGGTTCCCGTTCGCACAGCCATGGCATCTTCCCACGCGGCAGACGGGCTTCTCACAGAAGCCCAGAGCACAAGTCATACGTCCAGTGCGGGACCAGTCTCGGGAGACCGCGAGGCGAGATCATGGACAACACGATGACGGACGGCGCGACTGTTGGAAGGCCCAAGAGCGATGGTCAGAGGCGGCCGCTGCAGCCAGCGGGTGGACGACCTCAGCAGGCGCCAGAGATGCCTGGACCGACGGGTGGAGGGAATGGAAATCATCGTGGGACGACGCCTGGAACTCGGGGGAGAAGGGAAGAGATAACTGTCCCCCGACTCCTGGGGGGAGACGAGGGGCAAAGACTTCACCGATCCGGATACGGCGACGAGCTTCCACAGGTCTTCGCCACCATGCAGGGCGAGAGAAGAAAGACGTGGAAGCATAATGGAGGGCCTAAGAGGAAGCTTCGAGTCGATCGCAAGTTCTTCGACCGCGGCAAGGGGGAGACGACCGCCGCCACCCCCGCTCGCGCGAAGAAGGGTCCAGATCGGAAGGGGCATCGAGCAGCCAACGGACAGTTCCGACCTTGGGAAGGTCGTCTTCCCTTGGCAGAACTCATCGAGCGAAACCGATGTCGAGCATGCAGCCAAAAAAGGTCATCGGTGACGTGAGTGCCCCTGGCGGAACGGCCAGCCGTCGAGCGCGAGTGCGGCCGCGTCCAGGATCGCGAGTGCCACTAATTTTGGTCGGCCACGTCCGCGCCAATATCATCGTCCCGACCGAGGAGGACGACGACGAGGAGCTGTCCAGGTCGCGGTCCTGGTCGTGCAACCCGGGGGGGCATCGTGGGCGCGGCGGCGGGGCAGGGCTTCGGGGGGCGCCTTCGCTGGAGAGGCGCGCGAAGGTTTTGAGTCGGGTGGGGGCTTCGGATTCCGTTGGTTCCTCCTCGTGGCCCCCGAGCTCGGGGAGTCGGTGGAGGCGCTGGTGCGCAGAAGGCGGCGTCTTGGGCCAGCTTCGAGCCAACTTCGGCTATCTTAGTGGGTTCTGGCACGTCTGACGCCGTCGGGAGCCGTCTTGGGGGCCTTTCTGGGCCGACTTGTGGCCCTCTTGGGGCGCTTCGGGGCCGTTTTGGAGGCCATATTGGGCGTCTTGGAGGCCATCTCGGGCGTGTTGGAGGCCTCTTGGGCCGTCTTGGGACCCTCTTGGGGCCGTCTTGGAGGCCACTTGGGCCGTCATGTGGCCCTCTTGGGGGCCTCTTGCGCGATCTTGGGAGCCTCTTGGGCCGTCTTGGGCCGTCGGAAAGCCGAAGAGGCGCAAATGCTAGAATCCTTCAAGAACATAAGGAAAATCCATAATTTTGGCCTCGTCGGGCCTTCCTGGAGGACGTCTTGGAGGCCTCGTGGGCCGTTTTGGAGGCCTCTTGCAGGCTTTTTGGGCCGTCTTAGATTATCTTGAGGCCATCTTGGGCAGTCTCGGGTACATCTTGGGGCCATCTTAGCCATCTTTGAGGCCACCTTGGCGTCTTGGAGGCATCTTGAAGGCCATCCTGGGACATCTTGGCCGTCTTGGAGGCCATCTTGAGCCATCTTGGGGCAGCAAAGGCGACGACGGAGCGATTTTCCAGGTGGCCGGCGGGACGGGCCGAAGCCCCAGGGGGAGTTCTTTTAGGAAAAGAGCCAAACCAAAACCAAAACCGAGAGGGTTTAACACGCCAGGCGCCCCTGCGATGAATCGACAGGGGGCGGCGGATCGAACACGCCTACGGCGAATCACCGCCGCCCCCTGCCCTTGTGGAAGCGCCTATGTGGCCGACAGCCGGGCTAGAGCTTGGCCAAGCTATCGGACCATGTGTTCCCCGAGTCGGTTTGGAAAACCTTTGGGGAACACGTGGGGGAGGAAGAGGAAGAAGGGGGAGAAGGAGGAAAAAGGAGAAGGGGGAGGATGCCTCTTCGGAGCCTCTTGAGGCACTCTTGGGCTCGATTGGGCCATCTTGGGATGTCTTGGAGGCCATCTTGGGCGTCTTGGAGGCCTCTTGGGCCTTGTTTGGGCCCTCTGGCGGCCGTCTTGGGGCCGTCTTGGGCCGTCTTGGGGCGCTCCTGGAGGCCTCTTGGGCCGTCTTGGGGCGCTCTTGGAGGCCTCCTGGGCTGTCTTGGAGCGTCGGGAAGCCGAAAAGACAAAAAACACCGAAATCCTTCCAAAACCATCGTAAAGAGGACGATTTTGGCCTCTTCGGGCCCTCCTGGAGAACCTCTTGGAGGCCTCTTGGGCCGTCTTGGGCCGTCTTGGAGGCTTCTTGGGCGAACGGGCGGCGGTATCTTGGACCCTCTTAGGCCGTCTCGGAGGCCGTCTTGGACCATCTTGGGTGGATTTGGAGGCCATCTTGGACCGTCTTGGAGGCCATGGAGGCCATCTTGGGCCAACGTGACCATCCTGCAGGCCATGTTGGGCCGTCTTGGAGGAAGAATTCGGATTGGGCGATTGCGTGTGCGTCTTGCGTTCTTGGGGGGCGGCCGGCGGGACGGGCCGAAACCCACTGGGAGATTTCTTTTGGAAAAATAATCAAAACCCAAACCGAAAAGATCCAGCACGCCAGGCACCCCTGCGATGAATCGACAGGGAGCGGCGGATCGAAGACGCCTACGGCGAACCACCGCCGCCCCCTGCCTTGTTGGAAGCGCCTATGTGGCCGAACGTTGAGGCCAGACCTGCCAAGCTATCGGATCATGTGTTCCCCGAATCGGTTTGAAAAGCCTTCGGGGAACACGTGGGCATCTTGAAGGTCATCTTGGCCGTCTGGGGGCCATTTGCATCTTTCTGGCCTTCTTGGAGGACGTCTTGGAGGGCTCTTGGGCCGTCTTGGAGGCCTTTTGCGGGCCTTTTGGGCCGTCTTAGACCATTTTGAGGCCATCTTGGGCCATCTTGGGTGCATCTTGGAGCCATCTTACCCGTCTTGGAGGCCATCTTGGCCGTCTTGGAGGCATCTTGGAGGCCATCTTGGGCCATCTTGGCCGTCTTGGAGGCCATCTTGGGCGTCTTGGAGGCCTCTTGGGCCGTCTTGAGGCCCTCTTGGGGCCTTCTTGGGGGCCTCTTGGGCCGTCATGGGGCCATCTTGGAGGCCTCTTGGGTGCTGTTGGGGCGATGTTGGGGACCTCTTGGGCCGTCTTGGGCCGTCGGAGAGCTGAAAAGAAGAACATGCCAAAATCCTTCAAAAACCTAAGGAAAATCAATGATTTTAACCTATTCGGGCCTTCCTGGAGGGCGTCTTGGAGGGCTCTTGGGCCGTCTTGGAGGCCTTTTGCGGGCCTTTTGGGCCGTCTTAGACCATCTTGAGGCCATCTTGGGCCGTCTTGGGTGCATCTTGGAGCCATCTTACCCGTCTTGGAGGCCATCTTGGCCGTCTTGGAAGCATCTTGGAGGCCATCTTGGGCCATCTTGGCCGTCTTGGAGGCCATCTTGGGCCAAGTTGGGGCAACAAAGGCATTGACAGATGGATTTTCGGAAACTTGCGGGTGGCCGGCGGGACGGGCCGAAGCCCACTGGGGAGTTCTTTTAGAAAAAGAACCAAAACCAAAACCTGAAACATCCAGCACGCCGTGCACCCCTGTGGCAAGACCACAGGGGGCGGCGGATCGAAGACGCCTACGGCGAATCACCGCCGCCCCCTGCCTTTTTGGAAGCGCCTATGTGGCCGAACGTTGAGGCCAGACCTGCCAAGCTATCGGACCACGTGTTCCCCGAATCGGTTTGGAAAGCCTTCGGGGAACACGTGGGCATCTTGAAGGTCATCTTGGCCGTCTTGGAGGCCTCTTGGGCAAGCTTTGGGCGATCTTTGGGGCTTTTTGGGCCGTCTCGGGCCAGCTTCGAGCCAACTTCGGCCATCTTGGTGGGTTCCTGGCACGTCTGAAGCCGTCGGAAGCCGTTTGGGGGGCCTCTATGGGCCGACTTGGGGCCCGCTTGGAATGCTCCAGGGCCGTCTTGGAGGCCATCTTGGGCGTCTGGGAGGCCATCTTGGGCGTGTTGGAGGCCTCTTGGGCCCTCTTGGGGCCCTCTAGGGGCCATCTTGGAGGCCACTTGGGCCATCATGGGGCTCTCTTGGGGGCCTCTTGGGCGATCTTGGGGGCTTCTTGGGCCGTCTTGAGCCGTCGGAGAGCCGAAAAGGCGCAAATGCCAAAATCCTTCAAAAACCAATGGAAAATCAATGATTTTGGCCTCTTCGGACTCTCCTGGAGGACCTCTTGGAGGCCTCTTGGGCCGTCTGGGAGGCCTCTGGGGGGCCTCTTGGGCCGTCTTGGGCCGTCTTGGACTCTCTTGGGCCGTTTTGGAGGCCGTCTTGGACCATCTCGGGCGGACTTGGAGGCCATCTTGGGCCATCTTCGCGATTTTTTGAGGATGTCCCGAGCGAAACGGCCGTTTTTGGGCATTGAGGGATGGGTTTTCCGAAATTTGCGGGTGGCCGGCGGGACGGGCCGAAGCCCACTGGGGAGTTCTTTTAGAAAAAGAACCAAAACCAAAACCTGAATCATCCAGCACGCCGTGCACCCCTGCAAGCAGGGGGCGGCGGATCTAGTGGCCTTCGGCCTATCCCGCCACCGTGCCTGGGTGGTGGGTCAGAGGCCTTATGGATGTTGGTTGGGATCTCGTGGTTGGCCTCTTCGGGGCCTCTGAGAGGCAGTTTTGAGGCCCCCCCAGGCCTCTCGGGCAGTTGCGGGGCTTCTTGGCCACTTTGGGGGCCTCGTTGGGGCCTCGTGGAGCTTTTTGGGGGCCTCTTGGGAGCTTCTTGGGGCCTCTAGGGGGCCTCTTGGGAACTTCTTGGGGCGGGAGGCGGGGGTACTCGAGTTCGGGACCCCCTCGGAGGCCACGATCCTCGTGATGGGTGTCAAAAAATGCCCTCCCCAGAGACACGCGGGTAGCCGCGACAAGCCCTAGGAGCCCCCCTGGAAAACGGAGCACAATTCGTCCCCCCCACCCCCCTCCTCCCCTTCCCCAGCAGAGCCCCTCCGGCCCCCCCCCAGCAGAGCTGAAGGTCAGGCTGTAGGCTGTAGGCTGTAGCTGAGGCTCTCTCGAACTCGCACGCCGGATCGGCAGATTCTGTCAAGGCGAGACGATCCACCGTCCAAGAACAGGTCCCAGGCCGAATCAAAGAGGCAGCCGCAGTCAGCGTGTCGGTCTCCCGTCTCCCTGTTCCTTTCCCTCTCCTCCTCCCCCGGCCCTCCCCGGCGGACTCTGGGAGGGTCGTGCAAGCTTGGCGCCCCAGTTCGGCCTTCAGTCTCGTTCTCCCGTCCACGAGCCGGCGAGGACCCTCGTGAGAAGACGGGGAACGCCGCTGGCCGCCGACGCCCAGAGGAAAGAGAGAGAGAGAGAGCGAGAGGCAGGCTTGGAGCCTCTCGATCTTGCGAACCTGTGCTCTGCCCTTACGTTCCCGACGAGTGCCCACTGTTTTGACACTGTCAGAGGAGGCAGCCCATGTGCTATACCGTCTTCAGTGGAGATTCTGGTTTCCGTGTAAGGACAGTGAAAGCTACTCCGATACATTGCCGTTAATTAGTGCTACCTCTTAGAGCTGAGTTTTAAGATGGGCGAGTGGTGACTGGAGATGCGACGTTTTTGTTCCCCTTCTCAAGCTCATTTCTTTTCGGGGGGGGACCATGGTAATCGAAGCCTCTGCCCTATATCGTTGCCGAGGGTCCCTCGTCCATTGCCTGAGTTTGAATCTTCAGCAAAGGAACGGAGCAGGCGTCTCCGTAACCATCATGGCTCAAGCCATACATTCTCCATTCCCTGCTGTAAACCTCTAGTCACCTGCATCTACCCGTGCCCCTTCATCCCATTCCCTCTCTATGCTCTGATAGAGGTGGCTGTGCTTGCAGCAGATAGTACTGGAGCGTAGCCCGACAACCTCCTGGGAGAGAGAGAGGGAGAGAGAAAGAGAGCAGCATCGGCATCCGTTGTCGCCGTCGGTGGGGAGACAGTAGGAGGACAAGGAGGTGCAAAGGAGAACGACGACGACCTCCGCCTCCCGAGGCCGAGCTGAAGCACTGCCGCGTCGCCATGCTGGCCTTCGTTGGCTTCATCGCGCCAGATGGGTTCCGCATTCCGATCCCGCAGCTGCAGGCGAGCCCGCGCGGAGGAGGAAGAGGGCGGAGGAGGGAGAAGGAGCATCGAAGACGCCCGCTGCGAACCACCGCCGCCCACTGCCTTTCTGGAAATACCGATGTGGCCGAATGTATGGCCAACGCTTGATCCAGCTGTGGAGCTCTGCGCTCCCCCAGCCGTTGTGGAAGTCCCTTGGGGAACAATTGGGGGATGATGATGTTGATGATGATGACGATGATGATGCTGATGATGATGATGGTGATGACGATGATGATGGTGATGATGCTGATGATGATGCGGATGATGGTGATGAGGAGGATGATGCTGATGATGACGATTATGACGATGCTAATGATGATGACGATGATGCTGATGATGCTGCTGCTGATGATGCTGACGAGGATGCGGACGATGCTGCTGCTGCTGATGATGATGTCGATGATAAGGATGATGCTGGTGATGTTGATTACGACGCTGATGTTGATTACCATGATGATGATGATGATGATGATGATGATGATGATGATGATGATGATGATGATGATGATGATGGTGATGACCATCATGGTGGCGATGATGATGCTGAGGATGATGAGATTGCTGATCGCGATTATGATGTCTGATTATGCTGCTGATGATGATGCTGATGCTGATGCTGGTGTTGTTGATGATGATGATGGTGATGATGATGATGATGATGATGATGATGATGATGATGATGTTGCTGCTGATGATGATGATGACAATGCTGATGCCGATGCTGCCGATAATGCCGTTGGTGATACTGCTGCTGATGCTGATGCTGATGCGGATGCTGCTGCTCAATACGATGCTGATGCTGCTGCTGATGATGATGATGCTCACGATGACGATGACGATTCTGATGATGATGATGATGATGATGATGATGGTGATGGTGATGATGATGCTGATGCTGATGATGAGGATGATGATGATGATGATGCTGATGATGATGACGGTGATGGTGATGGTGATGGTGATGATGATGATGATGATGATGATGATGATGATGGTGATGATGATCTGATGATGATGATGATGATGATGATGATGATGATGATGATGATGATGATGATGATGATGATGATGATGATTATGACTATGATGCTGCTGATGGTGGTTATGATGAGGACGATGATGGGGACGATGACGGTGATGGTGATAATGATGGTGATGGTGATGACGATGGTGATGGTGCTGCTGATGCGGATGATGGTGATGATGCTGCTGCTGATGATGCTGATGATGTGGATGTTGATGCTGCTGCTGATGCTGCTGGTGCTGATGATGAAGATGGTGATGATGATGTTGATGATGATCATGCTGATGATGACGATGATGCGGATGATGACGGTGGTGGTGGTGATGATGAGGATGCTGTCGATGACGACGACAATGTGATGATGATGCTGATGATGATGATGATGATGATGATGATGATGATGATGCTGATGATGAGGTGGCTGTTGTTTATGACGATCATGGTGATGATGATGCTGATGACGATGGTTGTGCTGATGACCACGACGCTGCTGCCTTTGCTAATGCTGCTGCTGATGATGATGGTGAGCATGCGGATGAAGATGCCGATGACGAAGACGATTTCGACGCTTATGATGATGACGATGACGATGATGATGCTGATGATGAGGATGAGGATGATGATGATGATGATGATGATGACGATGATAATTCTGATGATCATGATGAGGATGATGATGAGCATGCCGATGATTGTGATGGTCATGATGGTGACGATGGAGAAGGCGATGACGATGCTGATGGTGATGATCATGCCCATGCTGACGCTGATGATGATGATGATGACACTGGTAGGGGTGATGATGATGATGCTGATGATACTGATGACGATGATGACGAGGAGGACGATGACGATGATTCTGATGATGCTGATGATGATGATGATGATGATGATGATGATGATGATGATGATGATCATGGTGATGATGATTATTATTATGATGATGATGATTCTGATGATGCTGATGATGACGATGCTGAGGATGCTTATGGTGATGATGCTGATGCTGATGATGACAATGAGGATCAGGATGAGGATGATGAGGCTGATGATGATGATGATGATGATGATGATGATGATGATGATGATGCTGCTGATGATGATGATGATGATGATGATGATGATGATGATGATGATGATGATGATGCTGATGGTGCTGCTGCTGCTGATGATGATGATGATGATGATGATGATGATGATGTTGGTGGTGATGATTGTGATGCTCATCGGAGGAGATGGGTGGACATGGGAGGAGATGGGAGGAGGAGGAGGAAGAGGCGGAGGAGGAGGAGGAGGAGGAAGAAGACGAGGATGAGGAGGAGGTGGAGGAGGAGGAAAAGGAGGAGGAGGAGGAGGCGAAGAGGAGGAGGAGGAGGAATAGGAACAGCAGGATCAGGAGAAGGAGGTTGAGAGGGAAGATGGGCAGGAGGAGGAGGAGGTGGAGGAGGAGGACGAGGAGAGGGAAGAGCAAGACCAGGAGCAGGATCAGGAGCACGACCAGGAGCAGGATGATAAGCGGGATGATGATGATGATGATGATGATGATGATGATGATGATGATGAAGATCACGATGATGATGATGATGATGATGATGATGATGATGATGATGATGATGATGATGATGATGATGATGATGATGATGATGATGATGATGATGATGATGATGATGATGATGATGATGATGATGATGATGATGATGATGCTGATGATGATGATGATGATGATGATGATGATGATGATGATGATGATGATGATGATGATGATGATGATGATGATGATGATGATGATGATGATGATGATGATGATGATGATGATGCTGATGATGATGATGATTGTGAGGATGATGGTGATGTTGATGACGATGACGATGAGGAGGGCGATGATTGATGATTACAAAGATGGTGCGGATGATGCTGATGATGGTGACGATGTTGATGCTGCTGGTGATGATGCTGATGCTGCAGATGATGATGAGGATGATGAGGATGAGGATGAAGATGCTGCTGATGATAATGAGCGGTGAGGATGATGATGAGGATGCTGCTGATGATGCTGCTGATGATGATGAGGATGATGATGATGATGATGCTGATGATGGTGATGATGATGGTGAAGATGGTGATGATGAGGAGGATGCTGATTATGATGATGATGCTGCTGATGACGATGACGATGATGACGATGATGGTGATGATGATGATTGTGGTGATGATGAGGAAGATGATAATGAGGATGAAGATGCTGCTGATGATGCTGATGATGATGCTGATGCTGATGCTGTTGATGCTGATGCTGATGATGATGGTGACGATGATGATGATGATGAGGAGGAGGATGATGACGATGACGATGATGATGATGCTGATGATGCTGATGATGATGATGATGATGGTGATGGTGATGGTGATGGTGATGATTATGATGATGCTGATGATGCTGATGATGATCTTACTGATGATGCTGATTATGATTATGGTGGTGATGATGATGCTGATGATGCTGCTGCTGATGATGATAATGATGCTGCTGATGATGATGATTTATGCTGATGATGATGCTGATGATGATGATGATGATGATGATGATGATGATGATGATGATGATGATGATGATGATGATGATGATGATGACGGCGACGACGACGAGGCCCTAGGACCCTCTTGGGGCCTCTTGGGGGCTTCCATTGTTTCTTGGGAGGCTCTTTGGGACCGCTGGCGCCTCTTGGGGGCCTACACGCACCGTTGCGGCGGCCTGGTCGCCTGGGATGCATGCGTGAAAATGCAGGAGGGTTGCCTGGAGTGCGAGTCACGCCGCCGGCACTCTCAATTCGGCGCCTACCAGGCCCAGCAGGGCAGCGAAGAGCAGCTCATCGCCGCCGAAGCCGAGGACAGGTTGCCGAAGCAGAGGGTGTGCATGATCAGGAGCCTCTTCGAGTCCAGGCGCGTGGCCGCCGTGTGTGTGTCGCTGCAGCGCATCGGCGAGCGCGCGACAGTCGTGGAGGCCGTGCCTGACTTCGTGGGCCTCGCGCTGGAAGCCTTCGCAACTCGTGGCGTGGAGGCGGCGGCCCACCTGTTGGCCTGCGCCCTAGGCCGCCATGATGTCCCAAGACGAGCGCGGCAGGAGAGGGCAGAGCCGGGCAGCGAGGGCCGTGCGTCAGCGACGACACACGCGAAGGAGCTGCTCCGTGCCGCCAGCCAAGAAGGCCAGTCCCCACTGCACCTGGCCGCCAAAGGCAGCGGCACAGAGGTGATGCGGGTGCTGGTGCAGCAGGCGCCAGACCGCGCTGCGGCCCTCGCGGCCCAGGATGGCAATTCAAAAGAGTAAAGGCGACCAGGCGCTCCCAAACGACGCCGCCACCAACGGGCACACCGTGGCGATCGGGCTGCTGCTGAGCCTGGCGCCCGCCTGACGCCGACCACTCCCAGCTGGGACCTGCATCCTCGTCTGCGCAGCCTGGACCAGCATTGACAACGCCCTCGCCAGCGCAGCCAAGTGCTTCGACGCATGCTTCTTCATCGCGCCGGCGCCGACTCCGACGCCGACTCCGAGGCCCTGTCCCTCTTGCCACGCCCAGCAGTCCACCCAGCACCTTGGCGCCTTCCCCGACGGCCTCCCCACTGTCCCACCTGGCTGTCCTCCTGGTGGTCCTCCCCGCCCCACCCCGCCCCCCTCCGGGCTGCCGCCCCGCCCGCGCTGGCACGACTCCCGCCCCCTCGAGCTGAGTGATGACACCTCCGCGCCCGACTCCTCCGCTGACCACGCAGGATTTTCGCACCTGGTGGCGGGCGGACTCGCCCCCGCGCTGGGGCCGCTTTCGGAGCTTCCGACGGATGCTCTGCGGTGGTGCGGTGGCGAGGACAGGCTTGCGACGCCCTGCTGCAGCCTGAGCGACACCCGTGGCTCCATGCCCTCCCCGCGCGCGCGGGGCGCTCGCGCTGGGGGCTGTCCCCGGCGCTGGCACGCCCTGGCGGGGATGGTTTCCTCCTGGTTCGCCGGCGAGTCCGATGGGAGGAGGAGGAGGAGGAGGAGGAGGAGGAGGAGGAGGAGGAGGAGGAGGAGGAGGAGGAGGAGGAGGGGGAGGAGGAGGAGGGGGAGGAGGAGAGGGGGGGAGGGAGGAGGGAGGAGGAGGAGGAGGAGGAGGAGGAGGAGGAGGGGGAGGAGGAGGAGGAGGAGGGGCCTCTGAGCGTCAGATCGCTGTGGAGGACCTGGGTCGCCGAACAATGGTGCCAGGTTGTGCCCCGTACCGCTCCTGACGGCCCTCCCCTGCCGCCATTGACTTCCTCGCCCATTCCGTCGGCCAGTTCGCCGATTCGATCCACGAACTGGCCGGCCTCCCTCCGCCGCCATCTCCGCTTCCTCATTCTCGCCCTGGGAGCGGCGACGCCGTCGCTGGCCCGCTCGTATATAGCTCGCCGTGCACACCGTGCTTTGGCTGGTGGAGTCTTGGCGCACCTCAACGGCCGATTCCAGCATCGATCGCCTCGTCAGCGTGCAGTGTTGGTTCTTGGCTTTTGCGCAGGTCCGCGAGGCGCCCTCCTGTGGCGCCAGCGAACTCCCGCCGCCCATTCGCATCTCCAATCCCCATCTTCGGCAGTTTTTTGACACCATCAACCTCAACCACGATTCTCCTCCCGCTCTCCCCTGAGGGCCAGCTCGCGGTCCGCCCCAGCTCCCGCCCCGCTGCCCCTGCCGTTTCTTTTCTTCGTTGTCCCCCTTCCTTGCCTCTGTTGTTCCCAGCGTGCCGTCACTGGAAACCTCCTGCGGCCCTGTGCAAATTCCGCTTCGTTGCGCCGCCTTCCCCGTGCAATGCTGATGACACGTGGCGGCCACGAAAGTCCACAATGATTGAACCGCAATAGTGTTTGATTCAAGACGCTTCGCGTTCACCGCCCGCCCTCTCCAGTTCTCACCGGATGAGGTGAAGACGGCTCCACCATGGCATGAACAAATGCAGAAAATCAGACAAGACCCCCCGCAGTGTGGTGGAATCGATGTCTTGATGGTGTCGTCGCCCCTTGGGGGAACCTCACTACGGGGGTGTGGTCATCGCTGCCAGGAGTCACCGTGGTGGAGTTGCCGTGTTCACGGTGTCGTCGCCGCTGTCAGGGGCGCCGTTGAGGGGACCGGAAACGTTCCTTGTAGGTGTATGCGTAGGGATGCCCAGTGGGAATGTGTGTGGGTGTACGAGCTGTTGCGGATACGTGTGTATGTTTGGTGATTAGTGGACGCGCAGGTGTCTCTATGTA